CTGCAAGAGAAGGCACTGAGCATGCCACAATATGCTCAATTTGAGATGCAGTTTTGGGATGCAGCTATCAAGGCTACTAACTATCTTAGAATCGAAGTCCCACAATAACATTGAACAACATGACACAAAAAGAAGCATGGAGTTGTAAGAAACCTGATCTTACCATGTTGAGGGTGTTTGGTTGTCCAGCCTATGCACATATCCCAAAGGAGCAGAGGAGCAAACTTGGATTGAAATCTAAGAAGCTTATCTTCATTGGATATGAAGAAGGATTGAAGGGATACCTGCTTTACAACCCAAGAACTAATCATACAATACGCTCTAGGGATGTGTTGTTTGATGAGGAAAGTACTTGGAGAAATAGAGATGAGATAAGTATCACACCAACAAGTAGATATTTCATCTGTTTCTATACCGTGAGTTTACCATTAAAAAGTCTTTGGTGATAATAGAGATGGAGCATCATCACAAGCACACAATGGTACTTAGGAGATACCTGATCCTGAAGGTGGAGAGGAAGTGGTACCTGAAGTAGACTTGGGAAAAGAGGTAGACGGTCTACCCGATACTCAAGCCGGAGCCTTTTCCAATGAAGGTTTACATCAGAAGGACAGGGGAAGCATGGTAATGCTCAGGTTTCAAAAAAGCTGATGATTCTTTAGAGGAGCAAGAAATTGCTCCTAGAAGATCCATCAGACAGAAATTTCAGGTTCAGAGATTGGGGATTGCTTCGATACGCCTAATGTATCTCTTCGTAATGATATTGTCATGGAGGAATCCATCTCGCTTCTGTAGATGATGAACCTTCATCATATGAAGCAACAAGAAGATCAGATTGAAGAAGTGGGAGCAAGCCATACTTGAGGAGAAAGAATCTCTACGCCAGACTTGCACATGGGAATTTGTAGATCTTCCACGGGGAAGAAAGACTATTGGATGCGTATGGGTCTTCAAGGTGAAGAGAGGAGCTCGCGGGTGAGATTTTGAAGTACAAGGCAAGATTAGTTGCCAAGGGGTACATCAACAACCTGATGTTGATTATCATGAAACCTTTGCTCCAAAGTGGCAAGGTATGGTTCTATTCGAATGTTGTTAGCTCTAGCAAACTGAGAATAATTGGGAGATAGAGCAACTAGATGTGAAGACACTTTCTTGAATGGAGACCTAGAGGAAGAAATCTACATGGATGTACCCAGATGGCTACTCCACCTCCAATGGGGAAAGTTTGCTTGCTCAAGAAAGCTCAGATGGTCTCAAGCAAGCTCCTAGGAGTTGGTAAAAAGCTTGATGCTTATTTGAGGATACAAGGCTTCAAGAGAGCACACTCAGACTTGAGTTGTCTATAACAAGAATCAAGAACTCTACATAGCAGTCTATGTGGATGATTTGTTGTTGATGGGGAAGGGAGTAAGAGATGTGAAGAGTGTAATCTCTTATCTTTGCTCCATTTTCGAAATGACAAGATTTTGGTCCAAAGTGAAGTTTTCGTTAGGCATCCACATTGACGTAAATCGAAAGGAAGGATGGATTCTGGGTTGAGCCAAACCAAGTACATTGAGGGGGTTCTACACAGTATAGGATGGAGGATGCAAAACCTGTTTCTACTCCCTTGGAACATGGCTGCAAGTTAAAGAAGGAGATGGATGAAACTACCAAAGAATCCATCAAAGACTTGCAGTTCCTTTATCGAGTGCATTAGGTTCACTCATGTTTGCTATGGTTTGTACAAGACCAGACATAGCTCACTTTGGGGGAGCTCTAGCCAAGTACACTAATTGTCCAACTCCAAAGACATTGGAGATGTCTCAAGAGAGTACCGAGGTATTTGAAAGGGACCTTAGGTATGTATTTGGAATACAAGAAGCTAGGATGTAAACCTATTCTCAAAGGTTTTTCAGATGCTAGTTGGGGGTGACGATTTAGACAATAGTAGATCCACTAGTGGTTACCTGTTTACTTTGAGTGGTGGAGCTATTAGTTGGGGAAGTAAACAGCAAAAATCAGTAGCATTGTCCACAACAAAAGCTGAAATCATGGCTTCTTCACTTGCTACTCAAGAGCGATTTGGTCTAGGAGTATGTTGAGTGAACTAGATTTTGTTCAACAAACTCCAACAATACTAATGTGTGATAACACCGGAGCTATTGCACTCACAAAAACCCTGTTCATCATCCTCGTACTAAGCACATCTCTATACGTAGGGAGATTTGTTGAGGAGAAAGAGGAGGAAAAAATAGTTAGACTAGTTTTCTTGTCCAACCGAGGACATGACTGCTGATGTGCTAACCAAAGCTCTCTCAAAAGAGAAACATAGGAAATGTGTAAGAGAGATGGGTCTGTTTCTGCCTCCTCATTAAGTGGGAGTGTTGTGAATTAATCTCAGAGTCAGACCAGATTAGTAACTCAGACTAACAAGTAAATAGAAATTTACTTTAGGTTTTTCATTTAGGGTTTTCTTTTAGGGGTTACCTTTGTGGCTATGAGTCTCCACCACTATGGTTTAGGGTTTCGAATTTGTGTGACCAGGCTCAAAGCTCAGCTTTGAGAAGTGTATATATTGCTAGTCTGTTAGTAAAGCAATCAGATCAAGTGTTCACCTTGCCAATGGTCATTGCCTCGGGTATTGATCACACCTTGAGTGTTGGATTGCTGGGAAGTGGGGGTGGAGTTAGTACTCTAGCTGAATTTCGAGTTGGTCTCAATTCAGGAGTGGGGAGTACTATCTAGAGTTTGATCTCAGTGTTTTTTCTTCATAGCCCACCTGAGGGTAAGGGAGAGTAGTAGCAAGCTATGGCTACTCCAGGAGAGTCAATAGAGAGGTCAGGCACTGCTGGTGATTCATCTAGGAGACATCGTAATGAAATGCTGCAACAAAGTTCAGAATATCAAAATAGTAAAATGTCTCAGGTTCTTGTTTTGCTGTTGTCAGTGTATCTAGGCCTTGCGACGTCCGGCGGCCTGCCCAACTACGAGGCAGTGAACTATGTCTCAGCCAATTGGAGTGTCTAAGATGTTTTAGCGAGTGTAACCTCGCCCTTCAGCTCCCGACTAGAGTTTACATCTCTTTCTTGACATACACAAGCCTGTATTAAGCTACAAAACAGGGGTCTCTGGCTGTAGATATCTTTTCTAATTGACAGTAAGTGAAAGAAACAGCCTTGAGAATCATGAAACACTCTGCACATGCCTATCAGTGAGAACGGCAGACCAACGATGCACACTGTCTTCTCTAAGCTAGTCTTAGACTAGCTTCGAAGCACAACCCCTTCTGTCAATATATCAACGAGGAACTGCAGTTAATCTTGAAATATTTTCTGTTAGTGAGTGTATACACGAAAGAATCACCATAGAGACCGTTAGAGATAATTGACAATTTTATGCAACAGACTGCACTTGTACGTGTCCTTCGAGTCTGGTTCAGTAATATGAGCGTAGAGGATATTCAAGGTGTTTCCGTACGAGATCATGAACCTCTGTTCGCGGTTACTTATCTCTCTCAATGACAGTTAATAACTGTCATTGAGAGAGCTAAGTAACCGCGAACGGAGGTTCATGATCAGCCTAGAGTTAGTCTCGAATGGTGCCGAATATGATCACATCCTCCAGATATGCTAGATGAAAACGACAAAGTAGATCTTTAAAGATTAAACCTACTGACTTTGCTTTGAAAGACTGATGACGATTTAAATAAGTCAAACATGTCTAACTTAGCATGACGAACCACTATCCTCTGACAACAATGGAGGTAATTAGCTAAAATGTTTGAACCTTGCAGAGGTCAACTCAAATCTCATCTCCAGATAAAGATTCGCTGACCTTTGGCTCTCAGTCTCAATCTCAGTCATGATGGTACTTCACTTAACTATCTGATAGTTCCTATGATCACCACTTGCTCTGTCAACACGCTCTCCTTAAATTAGCCTTCAGACTTTGTGAGTGTCTGAGGATTTGCAGTTCTCTCTCTTTCTTACGTGAGCTAAAAATCATCTGAATAAATGAAAATAAGGAAAACACCAAAAACGTAGTGGAGAATTTATGGTCCTCGTGGATCATAAATTTGAAAAGAATTATGAAATTGAACCTAGGGTGCGGGCTTTGGCTATTGGAGCTTCGAGATTCGACAATCTGGACAGTCACATTAGAGTTATTTGCATTCAAGTACTGTGAATAATACCGTTAGACACGGCACAAATTGGAGGAAAGCTTGTATAATTATATTTGGTTTCTCGATCATATGGACTTTCTACAATGATTAAGCCGGAAAGCAGAGCTTGAGTGCATACAGGAAGGTACTCCCTTTCAGTGACTCATGTCCAGTTCCATAAAAATAGTCCGACTTCAGACTATTGGCGGGGTCTACCAAACCACATATCTAAGTTCATTTTGTTTCTAATTTTATTGCATCATGAGATATTTACGTAAACACTTTTTATTTGGTACCGTCGTAAAGTACTCGTCGATAGTTTGTCAAGATCTGGTCATGATTAATGCAAGTAATAGCATTTTTCTTGTATGGTCCTATGATCATCTTACAATACTATCGCGTAGCTGCCGACACTTCGAACAGTTATACCAATGTTGTCCTTCACTTCATCTCAGCTCAACCTGATAGTATCTCCACTCAGACACGAACCTGTTCGATGAATCCTCAAATAGTACATTAGATAAGGACTGAAGTTTTCTTGACAGCAGGTTTGGTATTCATGAGCTAGAGGGGTGGACCAGGTCCCCCTACATTGCACTTGGTACAGAGTATGGGATAACGTCATATGGCGGCCTTCCTCGTTTTCCCCCGGCTGTGCATTCTGCACTTAATACTCTTGAACCTTGCTGACTGTTATTTTTCCAGCAATTAGTCCTCTCATTCATACTTTGTGATTGTTCTGGATACCTGCTGAACAGGTCAAGCCAATCAAGACAACGGTTTCAAAAAATGTAGTTTATATATATATGAGTATTTTCTAGTATATATAAGTTTATCTCCCTCCTTCCGGTCGTCCGTTTCCGTGGTGTAGTTTGTTATGACTTCAGTCTAAGACACTGAAGGTCTCCAGTTTGAACCTGAAAGGAAACAGTTTTGCAGAGTGAGCGGAGATTTGTAACCTGACGTGTAAATGTTCGTTATTTTTTCACTTACATCAATCCGGCAATAAATTTGGGTATATTCATCGCATGCAGTAATCTCCATATTCTTCAGAAGATGCGAGATCACTGAAGAATATGTAGATTATGGACGTTGAAATTATTTTAGGAGAATTTGGAAGAATAAACTTCAAAGTGTCATTACTTCGCGTACATGATACTTGTGCTGATTAACTACTCAGCTAAATTGGTGATGTTTTTCTAGATCTCTGATTATCTACGGTAGTGACAATATGCATGTATGAGACATTAGAGTTGCAGTTGAAAACATGGTGATTTATCATGAGAGAGATTATGGCTCTTTCCTTTTCTTTTAGTCCAGAGTTTGGCTTTTTTATTTTTTTATTTATTTACATTAGTCCATGTGGTTTCATCGCATTTTATTCCATGCGTCTCCTTTCCTCACTACAAAGATAAACCATTAAATGCGCAAAACAAAATCCCTGTGGTGACTGTAGAACAAACAGACTGAGGAATCTCTCCCAACTGAGCTTATCCCCCTGAATAAATCACAACGTGTTTATTTGAATTATAATTATAAAAAAATGGTTTCACACTTCACTTGTCAGAAAGAGGGCTTAAAGAGTATGAGAACACTACACTTATTAATATTGTGAGTTATTCAGCAAGTGACTATAGATTCTCACACCTCAACAAGCTTTTGGTGTATAGTTTCTAAGGAGGTTGAGTAAGAGACATAAAGAACAACCTAACCATGAGACTTACTTAAGGATTGGAAACCGTTGTAATGTACGGTATAATTTGTTGACAATCAAATGGATGTCTCATTCTTGTTTTATAATAACACTTTTTGTCATGCACATACATTGCCATCACATCAAATATCATAATATATAGATCATCATACACCAACATAAGTCTATCACAATAATCTTTTCTACTCAAAAGGTTCACAAGTACACTCCGATCATAACCATAGTATAAAATAGACATTACACACAAACCAAACCCACTTTGAGCTTCAAAGATTTGAAGTTGTGCATATACATATTGCATCACAACATACATCACTACCAGACCAAACATCATAAGACAAAGATTGTCATACATCAACACAATTGTATTTCAATTGCAAGACTACAAGATCATTGTTGAGTTCTTTGACTATTGAGATAGTGGAGAAAGAAGCTCGCGGCAAAAAGTGTTCAAGATGTCATCCATATTCTTATTGGGATGTTCGAGGAAACATGGAGTCTACTTCTAGAATGGTTGGAGTTGTTTGCATGGAGCAAGAAGTGGTTAGCACTGTAGAGTTTTATGAGAAAACTCAAGATGTTATAGCTCGTCCTTTCACTTGGAGTCTATAGACTCCATAGCAAAAGTTCTAGCCAGGAGCATCATTTGGAGCTACTGATTCAGTCTTTTTCAAATCTTCGGAGCTACATTTATCTTTTTCATTTTATCTTCTTCGTGTGATACACGTGGTTGGCCACACTCCACATTAGTGTGGCCCGGTGTCGTGTTGTGACGCGGCTACTATGAGAAGATGATGACATGTGTCATCTTCATAGTTGTTGTCATGAGCGCGATATTTTAGATTAGGGTAACAGATCGCATTGTAAGGCTGTAAAGAGCTAAGGAGATCAAGACACATCACCTTGCTGACTAAGGAGCTTATCAGATTGAAGTGGAGTCGATGTAGGACGTGGATAGGGGACAACATGATCCTCAAGATGTACCATTGTCGAGTCCATTTGTGATCAACATCCGGTGTCTTCATTGTGATCGCTTTTGGGTATACTTAGCTTGTTTTAAGTTGTCATTTTAACTCTTATTAGTGACAACTCATATTGTGTATAGGATGTCTAAGTAGAGTGTTTAGGATAATTGTAAAGCTCTAAGTTTCAATGGAGCTAATTTTTCCACACTAGAAGTCAAAATAATATTCTCCATTCCCATTGATCTAGGAGTTTTGACCAATGAGGGCACTAGGGCAACTTTTCAATGTTTTTAGGGATTTTGGAGACCTTCTAGAAGGAGATTCTAAAATCGCAGTATAGCGTTGGAAAGCTGACTTGACGAGCTACAACGCAGGCTCAAGAATGGATGGATTTGAAGGATTTGTCACTCTGAAACGGTGATTCAAAGTTAGAGAGAGAAATTTAGATCTTTGAGTGTATTTGGAGTGTTAGTAAGAATCTGACGAGTTTTTTGGGAGATCTGAGTTGATTGAGATACAGTTTATGACTTGGGGTAGTGTTTTGATGGAAGTTTTGACTCTATTGGATGAGTTTTGAGTATGGAGTGATAGGTTGAAGTTTGTGTAAGTAGTCAGAGTTGCAGGATTGCACTAACTATCACAAACTTAGTACATCGATGATATCTTTTGATACCAGAAAGTTATGTTGTACACAGGGGTCTGCATATCGCCTTGTGATACATTGGGTAAATCAACAATTGTGTTGAAAGATCTAGAATAGCAAAACATATGAAACTTTTCAGAGTGATTGAAAAGGTTCAGGAGTAATTTTCTGTAAAGTTTAAGTGACAGTAATCGATACAATCATTCGATATCATATTTTCTCCCGCTGAAGTTTTACCGGTTATAAGGAATTCAAATGTAGAGTGCTGAGGAGGGGAAGAAGAGATTGTCAACTCACACAAGGTTCTGGAGGGTTCTTCTACAGCCAGGCGCTCGGGCATTCTCAGAGCAAAGAATTGTCCTCTGCGATATAAAGGTGGTGAACTCGACATGAAACCTCAGAGATGGAGGAACTTTCATGAGTTCTTTTGTTGTGAGTTTACAGATTCATGGGTTTTGGTTTATAGTTTAGTGTTTAAAGTTTAGAGCAAGGGTTGGTTGCAAGCTTGGAACTGTGACCTCCGGGCTGACTCTCACTCAGGTTTACCTCCGATGGCTTTTTGGAAGCTCATCATGAATCTAGAAGGACTTAGTCCCACCCTATGACCATGACCCTATTGCTCACTCCTACACAAACTCTCAAAGTCCAAGCTCTATTATGCACATTATCACTCAAAAGGAAAGGAATACTTTGGTAATCAAAGTCTTCATTGAATCAAGGTTCCAATCCGAACATGACGTCTCCAAGAACCAAGCTCCCCAAAACTAAGATCACCACACTATCTTCTCCCAAAACTAACTTCCATTGAAAAACTACTTGAGAGTTGCTTCTCAACCTCTCTATTTATACTACTTAGAATCTTACCCTAGTAACTACAAGTAATCACCATGTAACTTCCTCTTACCAAGTTTAAACGAGGTAGAGATCACAAACCCCAATGAGAAGGGTACATGACAACATGCAATTGGTCCACTTGGATCTTCTAGAAGCCCAACTACTCCCTAATTGACTTCTAGTGTGCCAAGTCAATCTCGCCCCTAGATTTAAGGGTCTTCACCAAGTCCAACCAATGAAAACTAGTCCAAGTCAAGGATAGTCAAGATACCCATGTGATGGAATCTATTCCTTGATTCTTACTAAACAACAAAATAGTTGTTCTCATCTACCACACCAAAAGTTACTCTATATTTTTCTCCAACCTAACCATAACTAGCTAAACATAGTCATGACTAAGATAAACTTAGGCACAATTTAGATATACTTACATTTTATCCTATATGTACAACCCTGGGTCTTATAGAACATGGATTAGCCTTGAGATATCAGGGTGCAAGTTCAAGTTTTTTTTGGACTTGACATACAAAATAGGTCCGAAATCTCAAAGAATTGTCCTTTGCGACACCGGCCTTCTACAATTACTGCACATGGGCTGGTAGGGTATCCTCCTCATGGGTTGAGGTTACTGAGGTGACCAATGCCCCATCACCCCGCAATTGTAGCAGACATTCTGCTTTGCTGGTGGGGGAGGTCCATCCCCCATCCTCCTCTGAGGAATTGTCGTGACCATTTCCACAGGGGCATATCTTGGGATATACACAGGTGGAATTGGAGTACCCTCCTGCACCCCATAGGAGTAGTCCTCATGGGAGTGATCATACTATGGGGTCTCTTTCGAGCTTCCCCAGCTTACTTGGTGCACTGGGTAGCTTTTCCTCGGTTGGTGCTCCGAGTTGATGTGCCCCGACTTCCTACATATAGTACACTAGACGTTCACCCTACTCTGCATTGGCGATTTCAGTCTGTCCTTATTGTTGACCAAGTGCACTTTCAACTCCTCCAAAGACTTAGTCAGTTCTTGTACTTTGGAGGAGATCCCCTTTCTTCCCTCATCACCTCCCTTCATGCCATGATGCTCCTTCTTCTTTTCCACTCCTCATCCTAAGAGCTCGTAGCTTCTTTGGAGGAAGATGAGCAGGTCGTGGAAGGACTTCGTCTTCTCCTCCCTTTACCCCTGGTCTTCGTCCTCCCCTTACCTTTGGAGCTCTGTCATGAACATCGATGAATATTTGACAATTCGTACCCCTCCGCAGCCTGGATGATTGCCTCCACAGTATTCGGATCAGACCTTCTGCAAAAGGTCTCTTGGTCAAGGTCATGCTTTCCCAAGCCGGATACGTACCACTCTATGGCCATTACCGCCGAATATGGTTTGGTATTCGCAATGGTGGCCGGCATCCTGTATAGCAGGCTCAGGAATTGCTCAGTGTACTCCCTGAGCTTCTGGTGCTTGCTTATAAATAGATCCACAGAAGTTAGGAGAGATATCTTCAATTTACAAGAGTTAGACAAAAATTGTTCATGTGTAGCCAGGATAGAACGGAAACTCTCAAAGCAGAGTAGAGTTCGTGGTGGCCTACTTGACTAAAGATTGGATTCTTGTGAAGATGCCCAGGAATTTGACCCATGAATTTTATCATCGATGATTTTGCCGGAAGGACTTCTAAAAGGTTACGCATGGTGAATGATTGTCTCTTGTAATTGGGAAAGACACTCTTATACAATGGTTTATGCAGTTAGGTCGTTCATGATAGTGGCAAATCTTGTGGGG